ATAAAGACTTCTCTGTTGACATCCACCCCTACGCGCTCATATGACCTTATACAGTTGCGAGCACCGCAAAACCTCTACTAAAGCAAAAAAAGAGACAGACGTCTTTACTGAGCCTACCCATTTCCTATGCAACCCCCTCCGCTCTCCTTCATTCTGACCACATTAAACATTATTTAGTTCAATAACTTGGAGTGTTGCACCAGACTCAGTAGGATCTGTTATTAAGATTGTTTAGAGCAAGAATTGATGGATTCACAGAAAAGCTCCAATACAGATCGGTTACCACACTTCCTTGCACCTATACTGAACAAAGTGTGCAAACTCAACCTTAATGATCTGTCCTCTGCAAAACCACTAAGCCACACTGAAATGGGTCTCTCTTTGTAATCACTCAAGACTAAAACATTCCCAAAGTTCAAGACATCCATAGCTATAGTGCGGTCAAAAATTCGTGGCGCAACTTATCCTCAATATCTTTATAACACTTAGGTGACTCAATGTCACCCATACTTTGCACTGCAGTTTGTCTCAATTTGTCTTAATTTAATCATATTTTTCCACAACAAGTGAGGCTAGACTTAAAAACCTTTCTTCATAAATTTATTAGAAAAAAAAACAATGACGGAATTGCTTTTAAAAGCGATATCGTCCCAGCTGTAAACTTTTAAAAATCAGCAGAAGCCTCCCGCTAGGATTTTTTTTGTTAGTATTTATTTAGGAACTTTCTAGAACAGAACCAACAGGTCTTTGCAAAAATATTGATATATTAAGACAAATTGAAACAAGTCTCTGAGCAAAGCTGGAGAGTTTATGTTCGATAGTTGGGGAGATACGTTGTATTTGACAATAAGTTGCACCATGAATTTATGACCGCACTATAGTGCAGAAACATCTTGGAACGATCACACAAAATGAAAACCAGCTTCCACCCCCCCCCCCCCCTTCACCTTCCACCCTCCTAATTAAAGAAGAAGAAGAAGAAGAAGAAGAAGAAGAAGAAGAAGAAGAAGAAGAAGAAGAAGAAGAAGAAGAAGAAGAAGAAGAAGAAGAAGAAGAAGAAGAAGAAGAAGAAGAAAAAGAAGAAGAAGAAGAAGAAGAAGAAGAAGAAGAAGAAGAAGAAGAAGAAGAAGAAGAAGAAGAAGAAGAAGAAGGAGGAGGAGGAGGAGGAGGAGGAGGAGGAGGAGGAGGAGGAGGAGGAGGAAGAGGAGGAGTAGGATGGGGAGGAGGAGGATGGGGAGGTAGGAGGAAGGGGGGGGGGGTAGGAACTGTCCTGCAATAAAAGAATTATGCCGAAGCCTTCAGTGTACGAATTCGGACACGTTCAGATTTTAACGCGTCGGTTTCGTATAGACTAGATCTATGTACGCCAGAGTATTTAGCATATTTCTCTAAGTTGTCGAAAAGTTTACACAGATTTTGATCACGATATTTTTCTGGAGCACAACTGTACCCATGTCAGAGGAAAATGACCCTTAATAAGAATATAAGTGTAGCAGTGTAGCCAAAAGACAGACGACGGTAGTTTGCGTCAGTAGTATTGTAATTATGACGACTGTAAGATAATATAGCAATTTCAAGACATACGTAGGGGTTCTCAAATTTGAATAGCTAAATATCTTTTTTCTTTCTTTAACTTTGAATTAGATGTGTACAACACCTACAATCATCTGGACCTCATTACTTTGTTGCATTCTTTAGTGCCATTATTTACATATTTTGTGAAAACTGTTATACCTTTAACCGATCAAAGAATTTACTTCATATCTCATTTGAGACGTCGATATCTTAAAATGTCAATGACCATGCCAAATGTAGGTTTTTTTCTATACGTGTCTGCGAGTCTGAACCTATATCTGTTGCATATATCCAGTTTCAACGCTTACTTTTTCGGGGTGCTACATTCTTTTTTTTTTAAAGGCAACCCCTCCCCTCCCCCCCAAAAAAACAAACAACAACCCCAAAACAATTTCTTAAAAGTCTGCCCCCCCCCCCCACCCCCACCATGCACACACACAAAAACAACATCACATGCTTGAAGTCGGTGATCAGGGGTGAGGCAGAAAGACAGCCAGAAGGAGTCAAGAATACGAGAGAGAACAGAGACGAGGGAAGGGATTTTCGTTTATTTGGATTTTTTTTAGGAGAGTTTGAGGGGGGGAAAAGGGAAGACATTCTGTTCTGAGAGGCTGGGCGGATCACTTTACTGCTAGCCATGAGACACATTTTGAGCCACTACTTCGAGATTTTCAGGTTTAGAGGATTGAAAAAATATGCTCACGATATGTTCTTTCTACCTTAAAACGCTCTACACTAACACTGTCAATCTGCACATGAATTTTTTGGCC